CCTTCCTTCCTTCCTTCCTTCCTTCCTTCCTTCCTTCCTTCCTTCCTCCCTCCCTCCCTCCCTCCCTCCCTCCCTTCCTTCCTCTTATTGAGGTTTGTTTCCCCCCCATAGATGCCAATGAATGTGAAATGTTTGGCTCCGAGGTCTGTCATAATGGACATTGTGTGAACACAGTGCCTGGATACACCTGCTTCTGCCATGTTGGATATTTCTATCACTCCAGCCAGTTCGCATGTGTTGGTGAGAATCCTCTCCCTGCTTGTTTGACCCACTTGACATCTTTTGTAAAAGGCTCCCTGTCACATTTGGAGGGAATGATACATTTACTGAAAACATGGCCCAGGGTGAGCAAGAGGCCATCCAAAATATCAACTATTAACATGACGGGGTGTTGAGTGTTCTGTATGTGAGGGTGAAAGAACAATTTTTTACATCTACTTGAGTGAATTCTCTGTTGTGATCATAGATCTTGATGAGTGTGAAAATGAAGAGGTCTGTACAAATGGCAAATGCCTGAACACAGCTGGTTCTTACCACTGCTTCTGTAGCCTTCCCCTGGTTCTGGATGTAATCCACAATCGCTGTGTCAACGTTTCCAACAGTGCAGGTGAGATTCCTCTGGATAGTATATAAACTGGTCTCTATAAACATAGAAGAGTTCTGATAGAGTCCTGTGAAGGTAAGTTTTGTTCTTGAGTTTAAAATGGCAAAATCAAATAGGGATGAGGTCAGGACACATTAGAAAACATAAGAGAGCCACTTGTAGTACAGGTAGCCCTTGACTTATGACAACAACTGAGCCCCAAATTTCTGTTGCTAAGTGAAACATTTGTTATATGAGTTTGCCCCATTTTATGGCCTTTCTCATCACAGTCGTTAAGCGAATTACTGTAATTGTTAAATAAGTCAAACTATTATTAAGGGAATCTGGCTTCCCCATTGACTTTGCTTGTCAGAAGGCCGCAAAATGGGATCATATGACCCTGGGACACTGCAACCGTCATAAATATGAGTCAATTGCCAAGTGTCTGAATTTTGATCACATGACCATGAGGATGCTACTATGGTCGTAAATGTGAAAACGGGTCATAAATCTCTTTCTTCAATGCTGTTGTAACTTTGAATGGTCACTAAATGAACTGAAAGCACATATGATTTCCTATGTAAAAAATAATAAATTAAGATGTGATCAATCTCTACAAGATTGGAAGATAAGATCAATCTCTAGAAATAACTTCATAACTCTGATACAGAATTTAATTCATCTTGGAAACTATGGATTATAGTTCTATATATGAACTTACACAACATTTGAAAGTTGGACATCTCTTAACATAAGGCTTAAATATCTCAGCTTTGATTTGTTAAACAAGGACACAATTCTTGGACTAAACAATGGAAAAATTGATTTCTCATTCTGATTTAGGATGCATGTTGGTTATTAATTAGTGAATATCCATTTGATTTTAATTATGTTATGAAGTCTTAAATTGATACACTGTATTTTAATATGTGGTAGTTTAATGTTGCTTCATACTTTTTATTTAATATTACTCTGCTTGTAAATCTCTTTTTTCTTTTTAATTAAAAAAAATATTCTAAAAAATAAAGCATCAAAGTAGGAAACTTAGTTTAAAACTATGTCTCTCACTGATTGACTTTGGGCCGATCAGCATGTGTCAACCTGATCTACTTCCCAGGATTGCTGTGATAAAATGGAAAAGGAAAAATAATGTTGGAAAAGATAGAAGGAAACAACCCACACGCTCAGGGGCTTAGACAAGAGAATGTGGTAAAGTTTGGGATTTTAACTTGAAACTAATGGAAATGGCACCTGACTCAAATATCTAAAAACATACATGGCATTGAGAAAGTATGAAGGGAGATGCTTTTCTTTGTTTTTTTCAAAATACCAGAACCAGGCATTACCCAATGAAGTCAACTGGAAGAAGGTTCAAAAAAAGAAAGCACTTCATCACAAGTGTATAATTAATCTGTGACTTTAGAACCAGAAGGTGTGATGGCCACTAACTTGAATGGTTTTTAAAAAAGATTAAATACATGCATCAACACACATTGGAAAACAGGTCTAGCAACAGATATTGAGCGATTTCTGCATGTTTATATTGCTTTCTAGAGTCATTCAAATATCATAGTGCCAAAATAACAGTAACATAGACAGGCTGTATATCATTTCCATAGCGACGGTGTATTATTGTGGAGACCCAGTAAGTCAGCAGTGTAGAAATGAACTTAACCTTGAAAACTCACTGCTATATCTGAACTTGAAGCAATATGCTTCTAAATAACAGCTGCAGGAGGACCAGGTGGGAGAGGGATATGTCTCTCTTTTCTGTCTGCTTGCTAAGATGGGTCATGGACTGATTCAGCAATGCTATTCCTAGGTTCTTATGTTGCAAAAGAAGATCCTAAAAGTCAAAACATTTCATTACTTTGTAAGATATGCTTGAACTGGCTTGACAATTGTCTTCCAATGATGTTTTAATTTATATTCCTATCCTAAGCCTCAAGACCTAATGGCCTTGCTACGTATACTATTCTATATGTTGACCCTCAGGACAATTAAATCTCAAGCTTTTTTTTCCTAGCCAATATTGCAACAAAAGATCAAAATTCTGCAGAAAGGAAAAAGGGAAGCTCTTTTATGATTATATAAGGCTTTACAGTATTATGGCCTTAATACAACATAGAGACTGGCTTATTCCTTTTCTATAACCTTTTTCCCCCCAATAACAGATAATCCGGATGAACCTGACAGTGAATTAGAAATTTGTTGGCAGAAGGTCTCAACAAGCTATGTTTGTAGTGAACCATTGCTGGGACGACAAACAACATATTCAGAGTGCTGTTGCCATTATGGAGAGGCTTGGAGTCGGGACTGTGCAGTCTGCCCTCCAAGGTCCTCTGGTGAGAAAATGCCATTTGCTTCAACAGTTAGGCTTTGTCGTTGAATTTAGATTAATTGATTAGTCTGATTGCATCCAGTTTTGGTTAGCACAATATAAAAAAGATGTTGAGACTTTAGAAAGAGTACAGAGAAGAGCAACAAAGATTATTAGGGGGCTGGAGGCTAAAAAATGTGAAGAACAATTGAAGGAATTAGGTAACTCTAGTGAAAAGGAGTAAGGGCGACATGATAGTAGTGCTCCAATATTTGAGGGGCTGCCACAAAGATGAGGGGGACAAACTATTTTCAAAAAAGTAAAACATAAAATACAGAAATTAATTCAAGGATAAAATGGATAAAAGAAAATATAGTAATACACGTGATAAGAATCAACATTCAGATACATACGTCACTTTACATGATACATTGATCTGTTTGTTATCATGAGTTCTTAGCTCAACTGCCTTAAATATAAAAAGCAGTTCTGCTCACAATGTATACATTAGAGCCCAGTAGGAAATAGAACAGACTGTGATTCATATCCCAGTGGCTTGTTGTTTCAAATAGGGATGTTAAATATTTGAGAGGGACATATACTTGGCAAACAAAACATGAGGGTTATCTTTGATGGCTGGGCCACCACATATATTCATCACCTTATGATATGGCAGGTGATGGAAGCACCATACTTGACTGTGGTATCCAGCATACTCAAATCTTGCTCTATAACAGGGCTGTCAAATTTGCGGCCTGTGGGCCAGATACACCATGCGCTGGCCATGCCTCTGCCCAGTTTAGTGAAGGGAGAAAAAGTCCCGATACATCACATGACGCTGCTGTGATGATGTGTTTGACACCCCTGCTCTAAAATAGGCCCTTCTTGATAATTGTGTCAAGCTCATTAATAGATAGATATTTTTCAAACTGAATTTTTTTTCCTTAACTAATTTAAAGGTCTGCTTTTGTGAATAACTCCATATCCATTTGGGCACTGATATCTGGGTTCCTCTGTTTATAAATTACCCTTGCCTGGGAGGCAGTTGAGAGTAAATACTGGGTTGAAACCATGTTGTGAAGTAACTTCGGTAACTTTGAAGTTAGGTCTTATTAATATTTCTGTCTAGCTAAATGACCAACTGGATTCATTGTTCTTACTGAATTTTACTGTCATTGTTCTTTACTAGAATGTTTTTTGTTTTCAGTTCAATTATTTTCAATATTGGATACTGCTCGGAGAAGTCCCTGCAGTTTTCTTGGCAAGATTTATCAGAAGTGGTTTGCCATTTATCGCTTTCCTAAGGCTGAGAGAAGGTGACTAGTGCAAGGTCATCTAATTGGCTTCATGCCCAAGGTGGAGACTAGAACTCCCAGTTTCCTAGTTTTAGCCTGATGCTACACCAAAATGGCTCTCACTAAAATGTATAGTTAATATTAAGTTTACCTGGTGCTATTTGAAATACTTCTAACATTCATGGTATAAATCCACATGAAAGTTTATACCATGAAAGAGTGCAGAGAAGAGCAACGAAGATGATTAGGGGACTGGAGGCTAAAACATATAAAGAATAATTGCTGGAATTGTATGTCGAGTTTAATGAAAAGAAGGACTAGGGGTGACATAGCAGTGTTTCAATAACAAAGAGTTGCCACAAAGATGAGCGAGTCAACCTATTCCCTAAAGCACCTGAAGGCAGGACAAGAAGCAACTGCTGTTAACTAATCAAGGAGAGAAGCAACCTAGAACAAAGGAGAAATTTCCTCACAGTTAGAACAATTAACCCGTGGAACAGCTTGCTTCAAGAAGTTGTGAATGTTCCAACCATTGAAGTTTTTAAGAAAAGATTGGATAACCATTTGTCTGAAATGATATAAGGTTTCCTGCCTGAGCAGGGGGTTGGACTAGAAGACCTCCAAGGTCCCTTCCAACTCTGTTATTTTGTTATCTGAAGACACAGGCACATTCTCAGTTACAATAAACCAGAAATCCAGAAAAAAATCATAAAGAATATACTTGATTTACATTATCCAATCTTTCCTATCTCTTTCCACCCCTGGAGAAAGTTAAACTTTTTAAATATTAAAAACCAACCTTGGTATTAAAAGTTAATGTTTTCCTTTCTTGCTGCTTTTACAAAAAAAAAAAAAAACCTAACACAATGCTTTGTTATTTGTTTCTATTCCTTGACTCATTGCGTAACAAGCCAAAAGTTGTTTAAGACTGGATTTGCTCAGTTAAGCAAACTGATCACCCCACCCACCACTCCAAGGTTTTATACTGAAGCATTCATTATTAGTCACTATGGAAGGGATTTTTTTGTTTGCTTTGTATGAAGTAGCTTCCTAATGGAATATAAGATAAAGCTATTTTGGCTGGGGTTAGAAACACATGGAGTAACCCAAGATAAGGAATAGGGATCTTAGGGATCTTCTCACATTTAGTTCAACTGGCTTTCCCTAGAGAACTTTTTACCGCAATCTGTCCAAACAATTTCTCACTCCAGGAACCCTATTAATGCTAATTTTATTTATTGTTTCCAGGGATTTGGTCACTCATTCCTGAGTCAGATGATTTTCAGATTAGTTTACAGCAATTAAAACAAAAGCGGACAATAGAATAAACATATATTCGATGTTTGATCCTTAATGGAACTACATCGGCATGGAGGGAAGAATGCAGAGGGTTCCTCAAGATTCTGTCTTGGACCCAATGCTCTTCAAAATCTTCATAAATGACATAGATGAGGGCATTCAATTTCATCAGATTTGCAGAAGACACCAAACTCGGGGGAACTGCCAATGCTTTAAAAGATAGACTCAAGTTTCAAAAGGGTTTTGATTGGGCCCTATCCAACAAGATGCATTTGGTGACAAGGAAAGTAAGGTCCAACATTTAGGCAGGAAAATCAAATGCACAGGTAGGGGATAGGCAGCAGCTGGCTCAACAGTAGTGCCTATGAGAGGGATCTAGGTGTCCTGGTGGACCACTGCTTAAACGAGTTAGTAGTATGCTGCAGCTGCCAGAAAAGCCAATACAGTTCTGAGCTGCATCAACAGAGGGTTTGTATCAAGATCAAGGGAAGTGATAGTACCACTTTATGTGGCCACTGCTGAGGCCACATTTGAAATACTGCCTCCAGCTTCAGTCACCATAGTACACAAAAAATTGCAGAGACCCTAGAAAGATTGCAGAGAAGAGCCATGATGATGATAAGGATCTAAACTCTAAGATGGGGGTCCCCAACTGTGGACCAGCACCGGGCTGTGGCATGTCAGAAACCGGTTCGTGCAAACAAATGAAGCCCCATTTGTGTGCAGGCAGCACACAAAACCACATCCCCTCCGGTCCATGGAAAAACCTCTCTCCACAGAACTGGTCCCAGGTGCCCAAAAGTTTGGGACCATTGTTCTAAATTCTATGAAAATGTCTAAGAATGAAGATGTGTTTAGTTGGAAGGGTCCTTGGTGTTCTCTGAGCTTGGTTGTTTTCTTGCAGAAGTTTCATTATCCAAACTAGATAACATCATCAGGACCAGTCCTGAGGATATTTCTTAGTTTGGTAATAAAACATCTGTAAGAAAACAACAAAGTTCAGAGAGCACCAAGGACTCTTATTTCAATTCTCAGCTACAAATGTTTTTCTTTATTGGTACCACCATCAGTGCTAGTTGGGGGGTGGGGTTTGTTCTCAGTTTATATTTCAGAGCACAGGTGTCAAACTCAATCATGTCACGTGGTGTATCACAATTTTTTTGCCTTTGGTGGGTGTGGCTTGTGCATGATGCATCCAGCTCTTGGGCCACCAGTTTGACATCCATTATTGAGGCTTGCCTGTCCGTGTTTCAACTCTGAACTACAAACATTTTCTTTTATTGATGTTTAGCTTAATGAAGAGAAGATTGAAAGGAGACAAAATAGCAGTTTTCCAACACTTGAAGGGCTGCAGAAAAAAGAGAGGGAAGAGAGTGCTTATTTATTCTCCATTGAACCTGAGAGTAGGATAGGATAAGAAGTAATGAGTGAAGTTTGTTAGAGGAAAATCCAACCTGGAAATGAGGAGGAATTTCTGATAGTGATAATTATTAAGCATTAACCTTCCCAAAGTTGTGTATGCTTCATTACTGGAGATTTTAAAGAAAAGATTGGGCAACTATTTGTCTGGTATGAGGACAACCATGGTATGAGGACACCTTTTTCATTCCTATGATTCTTTGAAAAACAATACTTAGTTGGATTGATGACAGATATACAGGAATGGATAGATGGTAGCTAAAAGGTATGAAATCAGATACTATATACATATATACCGTATTTGCCGGCGTATAAGACGACCCGGCGTATAAGACGACCCCCCACCACCACCAGAAACGCCCTCCAGAAATCCCCGGGGCTGCAGCGGCAGGGCAGAGTGCCAGGGGCCGTGGGAAGAGCAGGAAGGCTGCAGCCTCGGGCGGAGCGAGGCGAGCGGGATGAAGCGGAAGCGACGCAGGGGATCCAGGAAGCCAGAGGCGCCTTCGCTGCGTCCAACAAGCATCCGAAAGCCGGCAGTGGATATACCGGCGTATAAGACGACCCCCCCACTTGGAGGCATGTTTTTCGGGGCAAAAAAGTCGTCTTATACGCCGGCAAATACGGTATTTAATATACATGTTATACATTTTATAAATATATTTTATATAATAATCATGTATATAATCAGATTGGTAAGATGCTCCTTGGGAAAAGCATTCCATTGCCAGGATGCTGTTACGGGCTAATTCTCACTCTCAGCCCTAGTTGACTCTGCTGCATCTCTAAAGATAGATCATTTATAATGGGTATCAAACTCAAGGCCCGGAGGGAGGCTGGATCCAGCCCATGGGGTACTTAGATCTGCTCTGCGGGGCCACCCTGGAAATAGTGAAGGACTGGCGCACAGTGCCTCTGCCAGTGAAAATGGAGCTTGGGCTCCCAGGCTCCATTTTTGATGGCAGATGGCCCACCTGAGCCACCATAGGTGCCCCTGACACAAATGACATCAACCTGCCCATGCCCACCCCAGCCATGTCCACCTGCCACCCCTCCTCCCCGAGGTCAAACACACCCCTGATGCAGCCCTCAATGCAATCAAGTTTGACACCCCTCATTTATAACAATTGCAATAATCAGGCAGTATTGTATGAAAATCAGTTCCTTTATTAAGTTTTTCTTTGCTCTCTCTTTTTAGATGATTTTTATCAGCTGTGCAATATAGCAAATGAGGCTGGACTCCAAGAAAGGCCAAGCTATGAGTATGGGTCAAATCGAGACAGTCATCAATATGAGCTTTATATCCCTGATCTGGAGCCCTATCTGAATCGTTTGGATGAGGATGGAGCAACTGATACCAACGGAGAAGAAAACAATGCATTTGAGGATAAGGCAACACCACAAAGACAACAGGTCCACCCAGATCAGACACACCCTCGCTACATGCCTGAGCACATTGGTAAGTGTCAGGGAAAAATAAATAAAAGCTCAGTTATGCTTAGGTATATTACTCCAACTGTAGGCATTTCAACCTTCAATCCCATTTCCTGCTTTTTAAAGATCAGGTCCAGAGACTGGCCAAAAATGCAAGAAAATCTTGGTTTTAGCCAAGTGCTCAAGTCAGATTCTTTCAACATCCAAAGAGAAGTTCTGCAATGACTAATTTCTCAGAGCCACTTGTGTTAATGCAGATGAAGAGATTATGTATACCACTTCCTGGATCATACAGTTGGAAGCCTCTCTGATTTCTTCTTGTAATCCTTTCTATATGCAAGTATTCTTAATTGGATTAAAGAAAGGCATCTGAAAAAGGAGGGCCAATAGAAAGAAAATGTTCTTTTTTCCCTCTTGTTTGTTCACAGATTGTTCACAGATTTAAGGCAAAGGTCCATGCTTGCAGGGGTGGGATACAACAGGGTTAACTACCGGTTCAGGATTTACAAGCTTCCCTGCATGCTGCGAGCCGCGCGCCTGTAAATCGTCATCAGCACGCTGCGTGCAGAGAAGCAGCCTTTGAAACAGCCCTCTTTTCCTGCTTTTTTATCTGCAGCTGTGCCTCGGCAGCTGAAGTTGAAAAAGCAGGAAATAAAGGTCAGGTAAGAGCCCAGGTGGGTGGGTGGGCAAACACATCAGCAGACATAGAACCAGTTCTATGTCTGCTGCTCTTTAGAGCTACCAGTTCTACAGAGGTGGACAGAACCGATAGAAACCCACCCCTGCATGCTTGCCTTTAATGCATATATACATAGAAAGAACCATTTTGGCATTTTTCCTTCTACAAGATTATCCTATTCTATATTGCTTTTTTTAAAATATCTATTTCTTACTCTCATCTTTCAGAGCAGTACAGCAGCTTTGAAGGGCTACAAGTAGAAGAGTGTGGAATTCTTACTGGCTGTGAAAATGGACGCTGCGTACGTGTTCAGGAAGGTTACACTTGTGATTGCTTTGATGGCTTCCAATTAGATTTGAAGCTCATGGCCTGTGTCGGTAAGTGCCGTAAGTGCCGTGGGAGAAAATGTGGTAGATCTTGCCAAAAAAAAGTACAGCAAAGAACCCCCCAAACCCTGAGTTACTAAAGAGGGCTGTGCATCCTTTTAAAATGTTAAGCTTAATTTTAATTATTGGAGAGGTTTTTGGTGCGTTCGTTGCCATTGTTACTATGCTAAAGACAAACTCTCACTCAGGAGTGTTTTGCTGGAGAGTTCATGCTCTTACCAAATTATTTGAAGGCACAATTCAAAGTTTAGAAGAGCTTTACTCACTCCATCCTTATAGTATAGTCTTTATCAGGGGTGGGATTCAAATTTTTTAACAACCAGTTCTGTGGGCGTGGCTTAGTTGGTGGGCGTGGCTTGGTGGTCATGTGACTGGGTGAACATGACTTTTGGTCATGTTATTAGCTGGGCGTGGCCAACTCAATATCACTCACAATGGGGCACATATCTCCTTGCCTGGCCTCTCATGACTGTGGGGATGCTGCAACAGTCATAAGTGTGAAAAATGGTCATAAGTCACTTTTTTCAGTGCCATTGTAACTTTGAATGGTCACCTCCACACAAGCAAAGTACTAGCAAAGAAGGGGGGGGGAAATCCAGAGAAGCTCCTGAGACAGAAAGTCTAGTCCTGCCAAGAATGTAATAAGGGTTAACAGAGAGGCAGTTTCTGTAAGCAACACCAGAATGTTTCCTTCCTGCCTTCCTTACAGGATTAGGCCAGTAATTTCTTCTAACAACTGCTTCTCTGAACTGCTTAGAATGTTAACAACCGGTTTTAGCGAATAGGTGTGAACTGGTAGAATCCCACCCCTGGTCTTTATGCAACATGAGGTTTACTCAGAAAGCAAGTACCTCAATATGGTACAATGATTATTTGAATTCTGCTCATTTCAGATCGCTTTTGAATCATCTTCAGTTTAAATGAGATACAAAGAACAGCAATGGTAAATTCAATTTAGGTATGATCTTATAAACTAAAAAGAATGTGAGAAAAATTCTGTGTTGTTGGATCTAATAGTGTTCTTTTTCCCTCCTCTCCCCATCAGATATCAATGAGTGTGAAGCAGCAAATGCCTCCATGATTCTTTGTAAAGGTAATGCCTGTGAAAACACAGAGGGCTCCTATCGCTGCACTTGCTCACCTGGCAGTGCAGCTTTAGTGGAGACTCACTGCATTCCAGAGACTGCACAAAATCCAGAGGCTGCATAACTACAAAAGAAGAGTTAAAGTGGAGGCAACATTTTCAGCCGTTTGCTTCAAGTACTGGAACTCTGTGCAGTCAGAAAAGTGTTTCAGGGAACTCAGCAGCTTTAAAACATTTTACTTCCCAGAAAGCAAAGACTCAGCATATGGATCTGTTCAATTACAGTATTTCAGCCAGTGTAAGCACTCAGGGCCCAATCTTCATATACTGTATGTGCATTTGATAAATGATCACGCCATTTTTATCACAGATTTTTGGCCTTGTTACTAATTGCATTGGATAGACCAGCAGTACACTCCCTCTTTCTTGTTCACCTTTTGTTTCTTTGTTTATATCATAAGTGAACAATTTGTGCCCCCAGAATTATTCTCACAAGGCTTTACCACTTTATTGTACCAATTTCTCACTTATCCCATGTCATCTTACATTTCTTTACTATTCATAGAATGCTGCTTCCTAAATTTACTTATAATCCTTACTCTAACCTTTTCAGAAATAGTCTGAACTTTGTATACAAAATGGGCATGTCCTCCTCACAGCTACTAATGCATTATGTCCTCTTTTTAGCATGACTGAAGGAAATTCGCATTCCACAGATAACAGACATTTGGCTTCCAAATGAATCCAGCCAAAAATCTATATAATCTTCTCTTAAAGTTATCCTTATTAGCAAATAAAAAGACACATCCAAGCCCAGAACACATTTTGCCCTGCAGAGTTAGAGCAACTATAGTTTCATTGTGGCTTGGACTTCATTGGTATTTTTTGGGCTTTCTGTTCACCAAAAGCCATGGACATCCAACTGCACCTTCTGTGATTGCTGGCATGTTACTTTGGGAAGTGGGAAAAATTATAGCTCTTTAGTTTTAAAAAGTAATGCAGAGCTTTCCATTGGAAAAAATACGTGTTAAATAAATGTGTTTTTTTTTATATTGTGCCTAATGGTTTATAGACTGGGGCTGGTCATATAACACAGGGATCCCCAACCTTTTCGACGCCGCGGCCCGGTTCCGACATCAGCTGGGCGCCACGGCCCGGTACCGGCGTCAACTGGGCGCCGCCATCTTTTTATGACGAAACAGCGCTTCCGGTGAGCTTTCTACCCGGAAAAGCTCACCAGAAGCGCTTTTTTACCAAAAAAAAGATGGCGGCGCCCAGCAACCAGCGGCCCGGTAAGGCTTGTTCCGCGGCCCGGTACCGGTCCGCGGACCGGCGGTTGGGGACCCCTGATATAACAGATAACAGATAGAGTTGGAAGAGACCTTGTAGGCCATCTAGTCCGATCTCCTGCCCAAACAGAAGATCCTACACCTGTGATGGCAAACCTATGGCACGCATGCCGGAAGTGGCACGCAGAGCCACTTCTGCTGGCACGCGAAAGGTCGCCCAGAAGAGCTCCACTGCGCTTGTGCGTACACTGCCCACCCTCCAGCTGATTGTTGGTTATCTGGCACACATGCATGGGATGCGGGAGTGCGGGGGAGACGGGCACACATGTGCAGAGATTCAGGGGCACACGCAGGGGGGCTTGCATGCATGTGCAGATGCATGGCACATGGGGGGATCCTGCATGCATGCACAGAGACGTGGCATGTGCGGGGGGCAACACGCGCATGTGCAGGGGGCATGCGCATTACCTTCTGGGTGCTGGCACGCAAGTGCACACACAATTTTTGGCATGGGAGCCCAAAAAGGTTAGCCACCATTGCCTTACACCATTTCTGACAGATGGCAGTCCAATCTCTTCTTGAAAGTCTCAAGTGATGGCACTCCCACAACTTCCGAGGGCAAGCTGTTCCATTGGTTGATTGTTCTCACTGTCAGAAAGTTTCTCCTCATTTCCAGGTTAAATCTCTCCTTGTTCAATTTCCATCCATTATTCCTTGTCTGGCCTTCAGGAGCTTTAGAAAATAGCTTGAACCCTTCCTCTCTGTGGCAGCCCCTCAAATATTGGAAGACCGCTATCATGTCTCCCCTGGTCCTTCTCTTCACTAGACTAGCCATGCCCAGTTCCTATAACCGTTCTTCATGTGTGTAACCTTTTTTCATATATTTCTACCTTCTCTTTCTGAGCTTAGAACTAGAAACTTTTGGGAAGAACCAAATAAGTAGCAGATCCTGTTGATTCAACAAATAGAAGAGAGATGGCTAGTTTGGAAAAAAATGAAATGAAAGCATTCTATATATGACATTACAGCTTCCAGTCCCAGCACCACCATACCATTATTCATATATGTAAGATACTCTTTAGAGTATTAGGAGACTATACTTAACTATGGCTGGTACCAAAAGACTAAGCAGGGCTAATCTTGGATGGAAGATCCATCTAATTTTTCAGGGCTGTAAACTTGACTGAAAAATTGAAAGAACATCTCAGAAGGAGGCAATACAAACCATTTCTATATTGTTACCAAGATGTTCATGTAATTACTGGATGTAAAAATCACCTTGAAGAAATCTTTTTATCTATCATAAGCAAATATTTTCACTATCATCAATAAAGAGAGAGATTAAGTTTAATTCTGCTGGTTTATTAGAAACAGTTACAAAAGCTGACTGTATTTAGAAATACACCCCACAGCAACTTTAAATGACTTACAAGATAGTGCAAAATGATTAACATAAATTCTTTCTGCATAGAGATCAAGTACCATATGGTTTGACATCTGAGAGTGTAATATCTACAGAATTAGTCCCAAAAGGTGGCTATCCTGTCTTGTTTTGGCTCTAGGTAGCAACTGCAGTTGTAAAAAATAGTTTAGATTATGATATAAAGAGGAAGGGGGGGGGAAGCAGGTGGAAATTTGCAGCCAGCATCTGACCACAAGAGGCACTGAAAAGACAGAAACACAGTCATCAATTTTGCTGGGCCAGGGTTTTTTAGAAGAATTTTCTGTGGTAGGTATTTCTGTATCAAGCAATATAAATCCAGAATTTCTTTCAATTATAACAAACATTGCTCTGAGTTACAGCAAGATATCCACCAACCCACTGTTTATTCTAGTTATCCATTTTGTTCATCTAGACTATGTCTCTGAGAACAATTATTGCACAGATACTATAGGATAAACAGGAAATGCCTGGTGTAGCAAAACATTTTACTTGTCTTTATCAAACCCCGCCTTCCATCCTCTGTAACCCTTGAGGGCTAAATGGCTTTTTTAACTGGTAATTTCAACCGGAATCTTCCAGCAAAATAGCAATCCTTCTTGGTCATCAAATAACTGCCACTTGACAAGAAGTTTAATCTAGAAAAAAAAGGAAAATATTGAAAATAATTGATCTTCAGATATTAAGATTTAGGGTTATTGGAGGAAAAAATTACAAAATGCCATATGTGAATTTAACTTGAACTTGAAATAGGTTTCATCTTTCTCATGTATGTTTCAATGTAGGGATCATACCCATAACTCCCTTGTCAACATAGCAAATGTCTTTCTCTGAACAAATTTATGTCCTTGAATATTTGTTAGAACTATTACATTTTGCATCCCTTGATTTGAGGGATAAAACAACTGAGATTGTTATTTTGTGAAGCCCGAAGTCACATTTCCATATGCATAATATAATGAGCTATATGATTACAGGGACTGTATCATTTCAAACTGCAGAGGGCAAATATAGCTGAACATGTTATAGAAACAATTCCTTGTTCTAATTGAGGTTTCCTCCCAATATGCTGACATTCTAAATGTGGGAAGAAGTGCCGTATGAAATCTTCCACAATCTGTATAATTTAGAAATTGTACTTTCACAACGTTGGACAAATATGTGAGCTAATGGTCTTTCCCTGGAGAATGGAACCCTATCTCTGCAGACTTAAACCTTCCCATTGCAAAAGCAGCCAAAGTAGGACCAAGTGGTCAATTATGCGCATTCTATTTCGTAAATGACACGAAGAACCATGAAAAGTAGCTCCAAGTACAGAGATCAGTCTACTAAGAAACTCACAGATGGGTAGTCGCTCTTTACTGGCAGCTTGTTCAAGTAGCTGTAAGAATGACCATTAAGGATAGGGCAGTTGATCCCACTCTTGCATCCATCAGGCTGTTCAAGTGGGAAAGGAACATCTACTAACATTATTTCTCCAAACACCTTTGCTTTGCTGCCTTGGCTTTCAATTTCTGCAGAAGAAAAATGAGATTAATCTTAATAGGACAAGGAACGTAGACTGCAACATTGCATTTTACAATAAGAAATGTTTTCAATGTTCCATATCCAGTCTGCCTCCTTTCCTATCCATTAATTCAACTGCTTTATAATTTATAGCACTGCAGATCGGTAAGTCTCACTGATGAGTTTTCTGTTTTACTTCCTTTTTCTGAGGTTTTTACAGAGAAAACACTTCCATAAATAAAACCCACTGCGTATAAAACTGTGGTTGTTCTCATTTGTATTCTGCATAAACTAGACAATCACAGCCATTTGCAATTTTCCCAAGCATATATACAACAACAAAAGAAACATTGAAAATCATGTTCTACATATGTTTGTCATGGATTTTTATCTATGAACTCCATTAAAACTACATATAGCTGATTGCTAATAATGATTCTCAGTGAAATTGTTTCATATAAAATTGCTTTTATATAACTATTGTAAATGAATGCATTTATGTATAGGATGTTTGAAATAATGAAAATAACCCCATTGTAAATGCTGAAAACATTCCTGAAAAGTTTCAGTTGGGAAATCAATCTTGTACTTCAAAATGAATAGGTTATACTTACTACTGGAAAATGTAACATTGACGCTGTAAGACTCTCCTTTGTGGAGAAGGCAAGGTAGTGTAGGACATGGAGTAATATTAACCTCCAAAATACTTCCATCTTTGGAACCTGTGCAGAAAGAATGAAACCATATAATCTTGGAGCAACTCTCAAACTCCACAATAACTGACATGGCCTGACAAATGTTTACATATTCTTATATAGTGTCCTTTGTTTTTGATTGACATGCTTGTCACTTTAAGAGATAGGAAGACTCAGAAGTGTGCAGAAACAACAAGAATCACAAGGCATTCAATAAAAATGGTTCAAAATTGTACCCAGTAACTTTAGGAAAATCTGTCTAGTTATTTGAGAATGAATCAGGACCAGCAAGAGGTAAAGGTTAAAGACAATACATTTTACCCATGTTCATGTCATATTATTAATGCAGAATAGATTACTCTATTCCAAATAATAAGCACAAATAATCTACACACCTTTCAATGGTATTGTCGCCCAAAACAGTATATTTAAAAAAAAAACATTTAAATAAATTTCATTGTTAAAATTACACTATTGCACTAAATGTCTTCTTGTCACAGAATAACACAAATAGTATAGTGATTTAAAACTCACAAACACACCCACAAGTAAAATCAAGAAGGGCAAATACAGGTTGTCTTTGACTTATAATCACAATTGGGACCAGAATTTTTATTGCTATCCATATATAATTTTTATTGTTTTATCAATGTATAAAATAGAAATAAAAATAAAATTAGGAACTTAAGGGAAGGAAGTAGAAAGGGGAAAAAGAAGATACGAAGTACAAAGAAAGGAAGATAATGATGTTCTTTTCAAAGAAAAGAATATATGTTTTTTATTTGGATATCACTTCTGGATTTTGTGCTTGCGATGAAAAAAAATGAAATGTTGACTTTGGTTTTGCCAATTAGATAGAGTTGTTGTTATAGAAATGGCTAGTTATATACAAATATGTACAAATAAAAAGTGTTATTTTGTACTGCGTTACAAAGATTTGAAAGTCAACGCCATTTTCTTTCTTCCCTTATACCTCATATTTTTCCCCCTTTCTTTTTCCGTCACTTAATTTCCTATTTTTAATTTTCTTTGTATTTTACACACAGAGTTTCTACTGCTAAGCAAAAGTGGCTGTTAAGTGTGTTGCATTCAATTCTGTGACCTTTTGTGTCGCGGTTGTTAATCCAGCTTCCTCCTTTTGACTTTGCTTATTGGA